TTATCTACCTCCCTGAAGGGATCTCATAGATAAGTTTCCTGGTTTTTGTCCTCTCTGCTTACTGTCTGCTTCATCTTTAGGTTATGGCAGCTTCAGCCTAGTCTCACAGTTGGCATATCACATTTGGCCCTGGCTTCTTGACTAAACCATGTTGGGCTAAGCTCTCCCCACATGCTAAGCCCCCAGCTGTGGTTTACAGATCAAGGGGACTGGGAACCCACTGGATGCTAAGCCTCAACTAAACAGTTCCACGAGTGTAAAATTGAAGAAAAAAAAATGAAGTGACAGGCAGGGATGACAATGATGATTAGCAGAAAATGGCTTGTTCCAAAGGGGTTTGATGGCATCTGAGGAGCAGCTAGAGAAGAGAAAAAAAAAGAGGGCCATAAATGCAGAGAATGCAAAATAGTTGCGTGGCTGCCCGGCCTTTGTGGGGTATAATTACATTCCTTTTCCAAGGAAACAACACAGATCTCAAAGAAAAAGAAGCAAATTAGGAGGAGAGGGAGCAATTTTGTTCTTTATCTGGGTTCCTGACAGCTGCTGCATCAAAGATAGTGAAGCTTGCTCTTGAGTAGGCAGGAATAATCAAGTAGCCCTTTTCGCTAATGTAAATTGCAGCTGTCAGTGGCAGAGTGTGCTTGGCGTGAGATAAAAGATATATCTAATTCTACTGCCAAACGGACTAAATTCTGGTAGCTGGAGTTGCTAAATTCATTTGGAAAGGCCTCAAGGCCGGCCCTACTATTAGACAAGGGGAAACACCACCTTAGCTACCAGTTTAAATGTCTCAAAAGCGGTTCTCGTTCCTGTATTCTTTGCTGCCAAGAAAGGTGGCCTTTCTTGCTTCTTGATCCAAAAGGACCGGGTTGCGCTCGGGTCTCTGGACTTTGTCTGGCCCTGTGGGGCCTGCTGCAACAGACCCAGCTTTTTTTTAACCTTGTTTCTGGGGGTGCCATTCTCACTGTAGCCCTGGAGACATCTCAAGAGTTTGATTGTCCTGGAAGAGATCCACTCTTTCTGCAGTGAACCAAAACTCCTTGTGTTCCTGGAGGGAAGCCCTGGTTTAGCTTGATTTTTCAGCCGTCTTAACCATAATGAGCAAGCCAGCTAGCTGCAGTTTACCTGGCCTTTAAAAAAACAAACATTATTTTTGACACCCCCACCCCACCCATTCACATGACTCATTACCTGATTTTCTGGTATCTTATAAGCGTCCCAAAGAGAGTTTGAAAAACCCTATTCAACTTTGTTTTTCTTGGACCTTCAACGATTCCACTCCATAACATTCTTGGATCGGATCAAGAAATCGCCTGCTTGAAATCTGACTTTGCCTGACATGTTTTCGTGGTCTGGTTCACCGACAGTCACACGAGGGGCTTCCTTTAACTTGGGGTTAGTGGTTTGTGTGAAGCCAGCTCTTCGGATCTGATAATCACACTTTGCAGTGCAGCACGCAGCAAAAACCAATTCCACTGTGGTTTATTCACAAAACCGTGGTTAACAAACCAAAGCACAGAGCATCGTGTGAATCACTTTTGTGTGTTCAGGCGAAGGTTGGATCAGAATGCCCTCAAAATGTTTTGGACCACAAGTCCTTAAGACTGATCACACGGACGGGTCTTAAGAGGACCACATCTGCAACACCTTGGAGAGTGCATCTATTTTGATGCCAAAAATTGCTATTTAAATCTTTCCAGGCAGAGCTAGGAGAAATTTCTGTATGATGACCTGGGTAGCTAATACTATGTAACCCCTTCCCCAGTCTTTAAACATAAATCTCGACCAAAAACTGACAAGGCACTTGGCTTACATTTGGGGGAAGATATGCCCTAAATCTAGGGATGCCTCCAAACACAAAGGCAAGATCCACTCTTACCTGTTGATTCAGTTCTTCTGATCTCCCAACCAGGAAGAAAACTCACTACAAATGCACAGAGACTCCTTTGCCACCCAAGATGGCAGTTGGCTGAGGTTTGCCTTTCTGTGGATGAACCTCTCAGTCTTTTTCTGCACCTTGGTTAAGAGGAGAGAAGGAAGATAACATCCTAGGAGTGGGGTGGTTTTCAGTAATCAATCAGATTCGCACACCTCACTTACCTGCCATATTAATAAATCCATTTTCTAGATTCATTCATTCTGGAAATTTTGGGCCATTCAGCCCCCAAAGAACTCTGCGCAGTTCCTTCCCCCTGGGTTCATTTAACATACTTAAACTAACTCAGTTTAGCACGTTATGTGAATCCAGCCAGTAATTCTTTGATTGACCTGGTTCAGAGGGACCATTGAAGATCATTGGGTTTTTCTGTCGGCTTCTTTATAACAATGCACCTTTCTCCCTTCCAGGTGAACAACATGCTGGTTTACGTGGAGAAGAAAGTGCTGGAAGATCCAGCCATCATGAACGATGACAGTTTTGGGCCTGTGAAGAAGCGGTTTTGCACATTCAGCGAAGGTAGTTAGCGGCCGTGGAACTGCCGTGTGGATCAAGAGGGCTGGTGGTGAGAAGATGTAATCCGAAGACTGTGAGAAAGAAAATCAGAAAGATAGTATGGGGGATATATTCGTTCTAAGGGGGAAGTCATCCAGTTGCTGGAATCCTTGGCACCCTCTCCCATTCTTCTCAATAAATCTTATTAAAGAAGACTCTGTGAGAAGCGGGCTTGGAAGGAATAACTTTTGATTTGAGGCAGCTGCTGAAGATCCTGCCATAAATGTTGCTAAATGGCCATGAAGAGGGGATCGGATAAAGGGGTCTCTCATTCTGTCATCCTGTGTCTTTTTCTATTTAATTGGTAGGGCTGGAATTCAAAGGAAGCTTCTGGTCTTGAAATCTTAATTTTTTTTTCTTTTTGTAGATTACGATGACATCTCGGATCAGATAGACTTTATCATCTGCCTGGGCGGAGATGGGACATTGCTGTATGCTTCATCGCTTTTTCCAGTAAGCTCATCTTTGCTCTCCAACCCATTTCTTTCCACAGTTTAGACCTCTTCCATTATCTGCATTTGTGTAGTCAGGTCCCATTTTCTGTGTTTTCCCCTCTCAGATTTGTTGTGGACTTTCCACATCAACAACAGTTAAATATAGCATGAGCTAAAACACCCATTTCTTTAAAAAAAAAAAAAAAAAGTAATTTCTTCTACAAAGACATTGAGAAAAAAACCCGGGTAAAATTAAATACAAATGTGTGGAACACAAAAAGGTCAGTACAGCTGCCTTAAACACGCAATAGAAGAACAAACACCAAAGTTGTTGTACTTTTTGCTCCTCTTAAGTTGCAAAAAACCAAC